GAAGTTGGCCAAGAACACAGTTGGTGCATGACACGAGGATCCAAGTACTGCAATAGCTAACCCGCACATAAATACAGGGACCCCTGTCAAAGAAAAATAGATTGTAGATCAGGCAACTATAGGAAAAGAAACTATCCAGTTAATAATTTTTAGCCAAAAAGCTGAGAAACCATATCGAAACTTGCAGTGTAATGCCTAAAGACGTCTATGCTGATTCCGTTGACAGGATCGATCCTGTTCAAGTCTTTCCATCTTGATGGGTGTTTTGAGCTAGTCAATGAAAGTTTGAATAACTCAAATCCACATATGTATTTCATCTTTCACTGTAGTTCATGGCTAGGAAGTATTGTCAATAGACGTGCCATATTTAGCTGATAGAATAGCTTCGCGGAAAAGTATGCTGTCCACTCTATTTCATTAAGATGTTGCAAATTTCAGCATGTCAGACTGTCAGTAGTCCTATCCCTTGTGAATTCCAACTCACCTGCCTGTAAAGGTATTTGTCGCCAATTCTGTTTGTAAAGATCATGGTTCACTTCATTTTTACACCCAACATACAAGATTATTACTACTAAACCGTCTGCTCGTATCTAGAACTTTCACATACATTTCAATTTCACTTAAAGGGAATCATTAACTAAAAGCAAATTAAACTTTTAATTGACTTTCAGAAAATATTTGAGAAGTCCTAAAGTCATCCCTATAAAATTTGGGCTCATAAATCTTATGATGTTATATGTTTGCTGGTAGCTGCAATGTCATATCCAATACCAATCACCAGATTTTCCTTCAGAATTGGCTTTTAGATTGATCTGGTTTCTGCAACTTTAGAATAAATATTTTAAGTCTAATGTAAATTTGTCTTTTGCAAAAGCAATTCATATCCAGTTTTGAGATATACGAGCTCAAGACACAACCAAACTCAAAATATTGTCCAACTTTTTGGCATGTTTTGATTTGGAATGCACTAAATCTCCCGCACCAGTTGATATGGAGATTTTGAAGTGAACATCTCAATTTAGTGAGATAAAATTGTCTTTTGATTTTTCATCAGTTTGCCATATTCCACTTTCTATGGATTCAAACAAACAAAGGATTCATCTCATCAACATCTTTGTGTCCTACTTGATTGCAAGCTCACGACCTAAAGTTTCTCAATGTACTTAAAAAGAAATTAATTGATCACAAAGATAATTTTTTGCCATGAGCTCAAGGCAGTAAAGATGTAATGCTTTCACAGCAAAAGCTAAAATAAGCTGGTAGATATAAAAGACTAAATCCATTTAAATAATATTGACAAATATATATATATATTACTGCCTCCGTTTACTTTTATGTGTCATCATTTGACTTGATACAGTATTTAAAGTAGAAATTTGACTAGTGTATAATGTTAGTGGTAGTGGAAGAAAATTTCAAAGCAATAGGAGTAGTTAAAAGGTTAAATTTGATAGAGAAAACACCATATCAAAGTATAAAATTTATTTAATAATTAAGTGAATTAGAGTTGTGGAAAGTGAAAATTAGTCATATAGAGTGTCAAATAAAGTGGAACGAGGAGGGTGAAACTTGAAAGACATACCAACGATGGGAAAGATACCCAGTGTAACGCCAAGAGCCCCAGAGAATGCCAATTGCTTCGGCTCTAAACCCCTTCAAAACAAATCAATAAAACGATTTCATTCAACAACAAATATCAGCAACTCTATCTGATCCAAATAGTGTTTAAAAATACTGAATTCTGTTTACAGTAAAAGTGTAAATTGAGGGATAGAAAGGTGAAAATGCCTAACCTGCGGAGGATTTGGAGAAGAGGATCACCGATCTTCTTGTGAGTCCAATGACCCACTTTCAATCCAATCTGTTTGAGCATTATATTGAAGACCTCTTAACTATCAATTCTTCCACTTCACATTCAATGGTCAACTCAAACTGATTGGAACCAAATGGAGTCGCAATCGCACGTTCTGGTGAAATTACTGGAAATGAATAGCAAAAAGAATCAATCACGTTCAGGATTTAAACAGAAGGACCTGATATTGAATGAGATTCTTATATGGACTTTTTATTTATTACAGATGGCTCTTCCTCCAAGACTTTTTACATTACTCTTGATTGAACTAGAAGGAACAAAACGATGTCGTATGCTGGTTCCGAAAACGTGTGAGTTGATAAAGCTTTGTTTTAGATCTCTAATGAGAAACAGGAGAAAGACAAAGAAACAGGGGAATCTAATCTCCCTCACTTCCACCCCGCCAAAGACTCCCTGATCTCAAGCAACTCCAAAAATAGTATACTAACTTTTTGTTATTCTTTCACATGACATGGAAAAGGGGCCAGCTAAACTAGACTTGTATTTTTCATTTCTGTTAATTTAACTGATAAGGGGAAGGAGCCTTAGCGTAACTGGTAAAGTTGCTGCTATGTGACCGGTCACAGGTTCAAACCGTGGAAACAGCCGCTTGCATAAATGCAGGGTAAGGCTGTCTACAACAGGCCCTTGTGGTTCGGCCCGTCCCCAACCATGTGCATAGCCGGAACAAAATGCACTGGGCTGTCATTTTTTTTTTCAACTGATAAGGGGCTCATAATTTGAACTTATCTAATCGTGCTATAAATTATAAATTCCACTTGCATATAGTATATGCCCGCATTTTGTTGAGTAAAGAACCTTTCACAATGTACATTCATTTTGCAGAAGAATTTAACTGACGTTGCAACAATAGACTAAAATGCACTGATAGCACTGTCGTGTAAACTCCTTTCCAGAAAAGTTCATCCGCTAATGTACGAATGAAAGAGGAACAAGCAGATATAACATATCGTTCCTAATAATCAAGCTGAAAAAATATGAATCAGAAAGCAAAGGGCATATCTTGCATAAGAACGGGTATTTGTTGCTTAAAGAGCATAGCAGTACAACAACAATCATCTCCTCTACACAAAATAATACTGGCTGATCTAAGGCCTCGTCTGACAGGAAAGTATAGTGCTCCCAACCTTTTTCATTTTAGCTTCAAATTGCTGGCCTGCTAATAGCCTATTGGTACCATTACACGAAGCCCTTTTAACCATAGCTATCAGCAATCTCTCCTAAAGCTGAACTTCCGTGTACATTTCAGCATCATCCAATCCGTAGCTGGCAAATGTGGTGCTGCTCCAGCATGTCAAGCTGATAATGCGACCAAAGTACATTTTAATGCTGTATCAATTAGCTGATTGGTGTAGTCGTTCTGTGTCATCCTTTTTTTTTGTCTTCTAAACACAAACTATTTGAACAAATAATATTTTGCATTTGTAAAACTGAAGCCTCTCCCGCTTGCATTCCTTGGATTACTTATCCCATTTCACTTGCAGAGCGCAAATTTTGGTTTATCTTTTGAAAAATATAACTTGTCCTCAAGTGGACAAAGAAAAACCTTCCTCGAGGCATTGTGTCCTCACATCTTGCATAAGGCGTTGAAGTAGAGATGGATTGCTCGTAACAATAGCATCCACCCGCTCAAATAACATTTTCTTCATTGAGTCCTCATCATCAACAGTCCATGCATAAACCTTTTTATTCCTCCTGTTGCAATAAAGAAATGGAGAAATCACAAGGTTAGATGGCTGCAGTTGTGGACCAAAAACGAGTGCCATTACGATGCAGGTATGGACACAAAACAGATTAAACTTCATACCCATGGAGGATTTTCATGAGTTTCTCATCAATTAAAGGATGGTAAACACCAACAACTGCAGCACCTCGCATTCTCAATAACTTCATTCCAGTTCCTGTTGAAGGATCTATCATGACAATGTAACCTACCTGCAGAACCACCAAACATCACATTCGCATAAACCAAGCTACGATCAATTCAGCTTATGTAGAATGGAGTTTATAGGAATAACACTTAAGTCGGTAAGTTTATGATCTAAAAGAGATGGTAAACCTACAACAAATCTAGTGTACACTAGTCGAGCTACTGTTTTAGTTTTAATCTTTAGGTCCGCAAAAGTATTAATCTGTCCCAATAAAAGTGTCTTAATTTTCACTTTAGGCTGTCTCAAAATCGACTCCACTTTCATGGAGACTTCTCTTATTTGTCAATACTTTTTCGTCATGCTATTATCAAACAGAGAATATTGGTACCACTTTTATTCTAAAAATAGTCAAAATTATTCAAAAAAATCAACTTTACCTCAACTTTCGGACACCCTTTCATTCAACTAAGACAGAATCCAATTTTTCCTTAATAGTCCGTGTCCAAAACAAATCAGACACCAAATTCAGAACAGACAGAGTACAATTTTGAAGAATAGCAATAGACACCATCCAGAAAGTGTCTATTTCGTTAAGTTATACAGAGCAACCACAGCAGAGACTCAAGAAGCTTAGACCTCATTGAACTTGTTCCTTACATTGCCACCTCTCCTGCCACACTCAGGGGTCGTTTGGTTGCCGGTTAGAGTTATGCTGGTATTAGTTATACATGTATTAGTTATGCAGATATTAGTTGTGTATGTATCGGTTATGAAGGAATACGTAATGCAGGGATTAGTTATGCAGGGATAATTTATGCAATATTGAGTTATGTTGGGATTAGTTATGCGGTAGTTATTTAATGATTAGTAATAGAAATAATGTGACTGTTATTTATTATTAGCTTACTTTATTTTATTAAAATTGTTAGTATAGTTTAAATATATTTTTTTAAGCAAAAAAATACAAGTTTGAATAAAGGGTATATATTCTTGTCATTTTGTGTTTTAATACAAGTATTACTAATACGTGTATAAGTTATTCCACCTTCTACCTTGCATAAATAATACATAGATTTACTTAAAACTTATACATGTATTAGTTATGCGGAAAAGAAAAACATGAACCAAACATTATATCAGGGTACAAGTACAGTTGGATTTGAGCTAACCCAGCATTCTTTCATAGGTTAAATGGAAATTTAGCAAAATAATGTCAAGAACATGAGATTTCAGAAATAGTTTCCTCCATTTGCAAGACCAACATTGCACGAAAAGACTGCAAAAGCATCAGCAAAGACCAATATTATCTGTGTCCTAAGTCACTTCAAAAATGGTTGACATGCAAGGAAATGAGAAGTTGTGTACTCCGAGCAGAAGAAAAAACTAGTTGTTACCATAACATCTGACGACAGTTTCATCACATCTCTTGAGAAACTGTCACTTTTAGCCCATACAAGGCAATTCTTACAGCCTGTGTTCTCGACCTGTAAAATTTTAAAGAGAGAGAGAGAGCACAGCACAAACATCAGTCACGTGGGAAAACATACATTTAAGTTGCATAGACAACAAGGTCAGTGACATACACCATCCATTACCTATAATGGCACTTATGCATGCAATTAGCAGTCTTTTTATAACCACATGCAATTAATTAGCTGTCTTCAAAAGCCAGAAAGATAATTAACTCCAGATAAAGGAAAAGCTGATCATCCATAGTGACTACCAAAAGTTGTAACTTTCTATCGGGATGAAATAAGTGGCGTAGCCAGGAATCATGCCAAGGGTGTTCAAATTAAACAAGTCAATAATTTTTTTTGTTGATGAATAGTGTACCAAAATTTTTAAAACCAAACTAAGCAATATTTAGGTAAACAATAAAAATACTTGTAATCGGACAAAAATTTTATAAATCAAAATTAACATAAAAAAGACAACAATAGAAATTTTACTAATAAAAGTAAGCATAAAATTAAAGGAAAGAGAAAGTCGAGAGTGTTTGTAGTCTGTACTCTGTAGAGATCTTTTGTTGAAGAAATTTTTGTAGAGCTTGCCTTTTAAATTATAAAAATAACTTTTAATTAAAAAACTACTTTTAAGATTAGTTGTTTCTCTTTATATAAATTTTAAGTTTTAAGAGTTATTTTATTTTATAAAAATTAGATTGAAAAAGAGTCAAATAGACCATACACACGGTGGTTTCTGTTTAATTTTGGCAAATAAAATGGACATATAGCTTTGAACTCCTGAACAACATATCATTGAGAACACCCTGGACTGCTAGACTGTCCCACTCAACTATGTTAAGGGTGTTCAAAATATAACATTTGACCATATAAAAGTACTCTATCTGTTCCAGTTTATGTGAACCTATTTCCTTTTTGGTCCGTTCCAAAAAGAATGACCCCTTTCTAAATTTAGTAACAATTTAGCTTAAACGTACAATTCTATCCTTAATGATAAGCTTTTATAATCACACAAATACTCTGGGCCCCTTTTTGATTTGTTTAGGACCACAAATTCCAAAAGTCTTTCATTTTTTCTTAAACTCCGTGCCCAGTCAAACAGGTTCACATAAATTGGAATGGAAGGAGTAATATTTAACTTATATACACAGTATAATTTTCCAACGAAGTGTGGTCGCTTGACCACCCTTGGTACAATGTCGCTACGCAACTGGATGAAATCCATAAGAAAGCATGAAACAAGTTCCCCTACTCCCACGTAAAAGCTAATAAGACGGACCATATAATATGTCTCAATCAGATGCTCCTACAGAAGTAGATATGAACTTCTTCTTCTTCCGCAACTCAAAAGAAAGGAAGGCAAAAACAGAAGAAGAAAGAGGTGAGATAGAAATAAACTTCTTGGAGTTAACCGCTGGGTTGCAAGTGCAAGTATTATAAAGAACCCACCACCTAGGCTAATATTTTCACCAAAAAGAGAAACCATATGATACATGTTCAAGTAAATTTTGTGCCCACAGTAAGGTAGTAACTATTTGGAAGAATGGGAACAACTGTTGGAATATCCCCCAGTCAGAGCCCAGATAAGTAGAGTAGTTGTAGCCCAACTATGTATTTAACTGCTGTTGTAATGAGTTGAGCCCAATTCTTTCATTTTGCAATTATTTGGTACCGTAGATTGGGTTGGTTATTAGCTAGTTGGGTTGGGATACTAGGTCTATATATAAGGCCATCCAAAAACTAGTATTGTGCAGTTGCTATTTTCATTTTTTCAGATGCAATAATATTTCTCTCATTTTCTTTCTCGTTTCAGACCTAACCCTAACACAAAGTTCTTCGATTTCATCTCATTTTCCGTTGCTAACAACAAAAGACTTACAATAGAAAGAAGATCCTTTGCGAACTCTTTCTCATCCAGCGGGAAACCAACTTTTGCATCAAGAATTACTCGCCGGACGGAACCTGATATCAACTGAAGGAAATGAAAAGCCAAGTTAGTAAACAAATAGCGAAAAAGCCTATTTCCGGAAACAACAAAAGGAATGCCATGCAGGTATGTATTGTTTTGACAATGAATTAAATGGACAGCATGAATATCTCCAGTAGCTGCCACAAAAATTACACACTAGTGGGAGATAAAACAGTTAC